CATTGGAAATGATTTTACTATAAGAATTCATTGGAAATGATTTTAATATAAGAATGCATTGGAAATGATTTTACTATAAGAATTCATTGGAAATGTATTTAATATAAGAATGCATTGGAAATGATTTTACTATAAGAATTCATTGGAAATGATTTTAATATAAGAATGCATTGGAAATGATTTTACTATAAGAATGCATTGGAAATGATTTTAATATAAGAATGCATTGGAAATGATTTTACTATAAGAATTCATTGGAAATGATTTTAATATAAGAATGCATTGGAAATGATTTTACTATAAGAATTCATTGGAAATGATTTTAATATAAGAATGCATTGAAATGATTTTACTATAAGAATTCATTGGAAATGATTTTATATATAAGAATGCTATAAAATTCAGAAATGATTTTAATATAAGAATGCATTGGATTTTACTATAAATGATGATTTTAATATAAGAATGCATTGGAAATGATTTTACTATAAGAATTCATTGGAAATGATTTTAATACATTGAAATGATTTTACTAAGAATGCATTATAAATGATTTTACTATAAAATTATTGGAAATTGTTTTTAATATTTATTGGAAATAATTTTACTATAAGAATGCATTAAAAATGATTTTACTCTAAGAATTTGGAAGTGATTTTACTATTTTAATATAAGAATGCATTGAAATGATTTACTAAGAATGATTTTATTATAAAAGAATGCATTGGAAATGATTTTACTATATAAGAATGATTTATTGGAAATGATTTTACTATAAAAATATAAATAATTTTAATTGAATGCATTAAAAATGATTTTTTTAAGAATATGGAAAGATTTTAATAAGAATGTATTGAAATGATTTTACTATAAGAATTCATTGGAAATGATTTTACTATAAGAATTCATTGGAAATGATTTTACTATAAGAATGCATTAGAAATGATTTTAGTATAAAAAGTAATAAATAATTAATAATAAAGAAAAGATTAACAAAAAGATAGATAGATAGATAGATAGATAGATAGATAGATATCCATATTTCATCCTTATACATCGGGACAAATGTGCTGGAACTCCATCATATTCTTGCGTGTCTGGAAGTGTGTTCGAAATAAATCCCTCTAGACAAATCATATAAAACGTGCTGGGAGAACATATGGACCTACCAATCAGTCACCTACATTTCCATACCACACATTAATCGTATATTGATCTCGGTGTCTAGTCGATATTGTGCATTGTGCCTTGTTGGTTTCCGATCCTCGCACAAATGGTGGTCGTGTAAATTTGTTGTTCCATCTCTTCTTAATATTGCCTCACACTTAAAAAAAAAGCCTGAAGCCTGAAGCCTGAAGCCTGAAACAACGTATTGACAGTTAAATAAACAATTGGCAAATGTTCTCGCGTGGTGAGTGACCAGAAGTCGAAAGATCCTGCGCACGTTGCAAATGGTACGAATACAGAAGCTGCTCTTGAAGCATCCTCAATACGGTGTTTGAGATTGTGATGGTCTAAGTTCCTTGTACCACGGTGATGGTCCAAGGTTAGAACCAATGAAAGAATAACACGAACATAGATATGGAATACAAAGATATTTTACAACAGAAATATTATACAAAGATGTAGAAATATTAGTAATGACTATCAGATTTGGTGAGAGTGAACTATGTTGTCTCGACAAGTATCACTATTCCAATGTCCTTACAATATGCTCTCAATTATCTCATCCTGGTCGCCACTTGTTAAGGTCCAACTTCCTTGTACCACGGTGATGGTCCAAGGTTGGAACCAATGAAAGAATAACACGAACACAGGTATGAAATACAAAGATATATTACAACAGAAATATAATACAAAGAAGTACAAGTATTAGTAATGACTATCAGATTTGGTTAGAGTGAACTGTTGTCTCGACAAGTATCACTATTCCAATGTCTTTACAATATTCTCTCAATTATCTCTCCTCGTCTTGCAATCTCCGCTCATACCTCTTGAGAGGTGCAGTATTTATAATGTCAGGAATAGACCATTATTATTATGGGTAAGTTCCCATAACAGAGATGTACAAAATGCTAGGGTCACTTGACGTGAGCTTATACCTGGCTCGTTTTCGACAACCTGTACAATATTCTTCATAATCAGGCGTACGAGGGGATATCCGTCTTCCTCGATCCATAATTTGTGGTGCCACAATTCCTTTCTGAGTCACGCGACGATAAGCCGCAGCAAAGGTTGTATGTCTCGACTGTCTTCAGTCTGGAAACACAATCTGATACAGCCGTGCAGCCTCGCGTCCATTACATTTCGTGCGGTCGTATGTGGAAATCTTACCTGCCTGCTCACGTTATGAATATCCTGCTATTGTTAAACGGAAGACTTCTCAGTTAACTCACAGCTACACAAGCTAAACGCTGAACTTATAGTAGCCACAGATGTACACGAATGACAAATATAACCTAGTCTATGTTTAAACACAACACCATCTACCGTAAACATTTTTTGAAATTAATAACTCAAAAAAAGAAGGATTTTCAAACATATTTGTTGTTGTGTGGAACCCACCCCAACGTTTCTAAAAGTGTTTTTGATACACCATATATATATATATATATATATATATATATATATATATATATATATATATATATATACACTGCGTACCAAATTATTATCGAAATAACTTCTTCTAATATTTCAGAAACCGTCCAATCAATTCACACGAAATTTTCACACAATGATTGCAACACTAACCTGCGCAATTACTGAAATTTTCGTACTGATCTGCGCAATATAAACAAACTGGCGCCATATTTCTTATCAGCACGGTGATTTGAGCGTGCCAAATTATTAGAATGGTTTAGTAAAATTCCCAGAATTGATCAAACAAAACGTTTATTAATGTTGAACGTGGATGTTTATGATCAAAAGAAGGTAATAAATAAGATAATCAAACAAATAATAACAGATACAAACAAAGGCACAGTTTTAAACAAATTAATAGGGAATGTGCTTTCCCTGCTTTGAAATTACTTGAAGAAGTCGATGATCCATAGAATTTGTTAATTGTAGGATGTCATCTGCTGTAATGCCACGAGATATGTCAAGAATTGCTTCCCACAACTCAGCGTTGCTCCTGAATTGTCATCCGTTGGCGTACAGTCTTCGCTTCATGATGCTCCAAAGGTTTTCGATTGGGTTCAAATCCGGAGAATTTGCTGGCCACTTTATTTTTCGAGGTCCATCGAAGCCTAACTGTTTCAAATATTCAGTAGTCTTGTGAGAAGCATGTGGGGGAGCATGCATAAAACAATGGCCCTTCTGAAGGCAACTCTTTGCTATTTCATCCACGGTTCAAGATGCTCCTTCATGGTACTCTCCATGGGCCGACTAATGTTTTCCAATAATACCACCCCAGATCATTATGCCTTCACCGCCTTGTTCACGTCTCAAACGCTGATGGCGATTTTGTCCGTTCATTACCCAGCCTTTGCACCATCTATCTGGCCCATCAAGTGTTGCTCGAGTTTCCTCAGTGAACCTAAACTTTAGAGAAGTCAATCTTCATATTGTCCTCAGCCTATTTCCATCGATTTTGAATGTGATTTCTCGTCAACGGAGGCTTCGATACAGGTTTGACTGTTGTTGCTATTTTCCTCAGATACCGACACCGAGTACTTTTAGACACAGTAGGATCCCCGATGCGACTGAAAAGCTCTTGACTGGTAAGTCCAGGGTTCTTCGTGATCTCTCGTTTAAGTCGTGACATGAGACGACGTGAAATAACCCTCGGCTTGCCTTTATCTGACCTTTTGCGTACTTGTGTAGGGTCGGCGGTGAACTTTTTTAATGTTTGATGCCACCTCCCTATCATTTTAGAAATTTCTAGGGTAGATTTACCTTTTGAGATTTCTGAGGTGATAGTTTTCTTTTCAGCATCACTTAAACTGCTTTTACGGCCCATCTTTTCACTAAATTCTTACACTTTTTTTTAATAATTTGGCACGCTCAAATCACCGTGCTGATAACAAATATGGCGCCAGTTTGTTTACCTTGCGCAGATCAGTAGGAAAATTTCAGTGATTGTTCAGGTCAGTGTTGCCAACGTTGTGTGAAAATTTTGTGTGAATTGATTGGACGGTTTTTGAAATATTAGAAAAAAAGTTATTTCGATAATAATTTGGCACGCAGTGTGTATATATATATATATATATATATATATATATATATATATGGTGGATTCTCTTATACTCATCGAGAAATGATGAGGTTCAGCAGTAGATAATGCCTTTCATTTTACACTTATACATGCTAGCAGGGGGATTGTAGGGTAAATCATATAAGGGAAAGACATATTTCATTTGTACTTTCTTAAGTGTGTTACTAACCAAGCCTTTCTTCAGGCATCAAAGCCACACTGACAGATGACATTTGTTCATTATTTACATTATTCGGACTATTGTCCTCATCTTTTTCGCCATATTTATTACGACATTTCCGCCGTTGTACGCACCGGCCTTCATCAGGTGCTTGGAATGTCGAACTGAACCCTTTATTTCGCTCACTGGGGTAGACTGTTCTAGTTCCATGTTTAATGGATGTCAGTTATCAGTCATCTCCTGTTAATTTTCCATCTCAAAATTCTTCACTGCCTTAACCGGGTATTGAACTCACACTCTTTGGTTTCTGTCACTGGATCTAAGCAGCGCCTTTATCCACTGTGCCATGTGGCCTCAAGATCTTTCAGATGGAAAATTAACAGGAGGTAACTGATAACTGACATGTAAATAATGTCCATAATACCTCATCTCAGAAATATAGAGAGATAATGAAATGTGTTAAAAGCAGGATTTTGATGGCGTCTCTGCTTAACGAAGCTGATCACCTTGCTTTAGTCTACTGTTTTCAAAATCCTTTACATTAATGAAACATTTCTTACGCCCCTCTTTACGGTTTGATACTTGGGCTTCCTAGGTTTTCAGATCAAAGATGAGATGTTTCTAGTTGTGTGTGTGTGGATATATATATATATATATATATATATAGAGAGAGAGAGAGAGAGAGAGAGAGATGTGAAATGCCTGAGATAGATAGATAGATGTGAAATGCCCGAGATAGATAGATAGATAGATAGATAGATAGATAGATAGATAGATAGATAGATATAGAATATGTGAATATACTGTGATAGAATATTCTATTGATATAAGATTAATTAAAGTAGTATACTCAATACCAGTCGAATGTGTTCGATATTACTAAACAGAGATGGATGGATACCTATAAGAAGTTTGGAGAATTTTCAGATTCTACATGTAGACGAATATAGTTGTTGGTAGTTGTTGAATCGACTTCCTTTGGTGACATGATTTTGTAGAGAACTCAGAACTGACAGTGGATAGTAATAGGAATGAAACAGCAAATAATCAATAACCAATAAGCCAGAGATCGTTAAAGAGACAATGAATGAGGGAGTACATAGATAGATAGATAGATAGATAGATAGATAGATAGATAGATAGATAATGAATAGACTGAGATAGATAGAAAATTAATAGTCGGAGATAGACAGATAGATAGACTAATGCAACATAAATTTATAGAAACAAGGATCTTTTCATTCATAACAGGTTCGGGGTTTTTTGTATATTATTTGAATTGTTTGCGACGATGGATTTCTCGCCAATTAAATCATTAACCTTTGCATTTGTTTTTGTATGAATAATTCATGAATATATATATATATATATATATATATATATAGAGAGAGAGAGAGAGAGAGAGATAGAGAGAGAGAGGTGAAAAGAATAAAATAGATAGATATAAATATTATTAGAGAGAGAGATGAAAAGAGTAAAATAGATAGATAGATAGATAGATAGAAAAAAATTGATGTAAATATAAGTATTGATAGATAGATATGAATACACACGCACACGCGCACGCACCTACAGACCTATATTTATATATAGAGAGAGTGAGGGATATGAATACACAGATATATAGAGACAGATAATGAATAGACTGAGATAGATACTTACTAATACCTTTCAATAAATAGTCTTCTCAATAACTGAATTACCTCCCTTGACATTACTACAAGTGTGTTCTTACAGCATAAAATTTAAAAATCGTACAGTACATAAGTTAATCTTATTTTCCCGTCCATATAGGAGGATTGAAATCCTCCCCCACAAACGCAAAAATATATATATATATATATATATATATATATATATATATATATATATAGTAATCCGTTGGTATAATCCAGGCGAGTCCTATTTACACAACATAGATTTTGAAATACGTTAAAACTGACTCACAAAAGAGCGCACCATGTTTATTTTCCTTAAACAGAGCAAAGGCATCGCGATAAATATATATATATATATATATATATATATGTATATATATACAGATAGATAAATAGATAGATAGATACATAGATGTAAATTCATAATGAATATACTTTTATTAATAGAAACATAGATATGAATAAACTGATAGATAGATAGATAGATAGATAGATAGATAGATAGATAGATAGAATATACTTTTATTAATAGAAACATAGATATGAATAAACTGATAGATAGATAGATAGATAGATAGATAGATAGATAGATAGATAGAATATACTTTTATTAATAGAAACATTGATATGAATAAACTGATAGATAGATAGATAGATAGATAGATAGATAGATTGCAGCTATAGACCCTAATTTCGATAAAAATCTCGAAGAGTCTTCTGTGAGATCATTACATGCAGATAACATTCAAATCCTGCAAAGTGTTTTCAACTTCCTACCTCGTCTCTCAGAAGTTTTGTTTGTCTGTAGAAAATTGGATCAATTCACTTTCTCAAAACCAAAATCGATTCCACACGTTTCTTTGACGCCAACTAAGATGAAAATGTCTACGTTAAATGGCGCAAAGAGAAGTGCTTAAAAGAATTCCAGCCATTTCCTAAGAGATACTTTTCAAAGCCTTTTTGCTGTCGCCTTGTAAGTACGTTTTATTTCGCCGGCCATGATGACAGGGAAGCCATTTTCTCCCTGTAATGGCGGGAAAAATATCTATTCGTCAGATCCCGGATTCTGTTTGTTTGTGAACGAATCTGAAAAGAATTTTATTATTGGTTTTGGATGCTTTTGATTTTTTTTTTTTTTTTATAGTTTTCTGGCCCTCAATTTTTTTTATTTTTTTTATTAATTTATTTTTTGTGGGGTGGGAAATCATGCTATAAATTTATTGGGGTGTGGTCAATTAATGATATGTGTCTTTCTGATACTGGAATGGGGTATAATGTTTATGGTCCGACTATGAGAGACGTGTTCATATCTGCCTGTGGTTGATTTGATCAAGGTTGTGACGTCTTGATAATATCAACCTCAGTAGAAGTGCAATAGCTTTCCTTTCGATTACTTCGTCATTTTTACGGCTTATCAACCCTTTTACGGTTAAATAAACACGAAAAATATTACTGGATTATGATAATTTTGGTGGGGGATAGTAATGGTTACCTGACACAACTTTTATTATTTAACCCATAACTGGGAGCAGAAGACGTGGATTTGTACCTTTCACATGGGTAAATAGCAGGACAGACCAGGTTCTGTAGCCTTGGGTAGCAATTGGTCTACCGCAGAAAGAAATGACAACCTACTGCGCGAAAAATCTCTCGTCTGTCATGTATCGAAAGATACATGATCGCCTAAGCGTGTATCATGCATGGCACATAACTGTATAAAAGAGTGATTGCTGTCGAAATACAATAATATATATATATATATATATATATATATATACAGACCGGGTTCTATAGTCTTGAATGTCAATTGGTCTAGGAGAAGGACAACTCTGAATTCAAAACCTGTAGAAGGTCGTTTGGGGACCTTGTGGCACGTAGTGCACCAGGTCTCTGTATTCGGCCCTTCAAAAAGTGTGGATGGTTCTGCACAAAGCCTTCACCACTATAATCAAATCTCATGTGCCGGTGTCGGGCTGTCGGTTTCCTGGAAACTGATCTGCTTGACCCTCATACGTCGAATTCGACGGGAGAGTCGAGTATATATATATATATATATATATATATATTTAAGACATTCTTTTAATTATCTATTTTTAAAAAGAAAGTATAAACATAAAAATGTCTTAAGATAATTGTTGGACTTTGTCCGTTTCATAATGTGTGGTGTCATTCGTTTACATTTGGATACGCATTGAGCAGATATGAATGTACGTGAAAAAATCATGAAAAATTGTAGTTTAAAAATAGTAAAATGGACCTTGCTAACCGAGCGCTCCTCAGTAACCAAATTGGTTAAAGGCACATCAGAGGATACAGGTTCGAATCCTGTCGGAGGACGAATATTTTCTATGAAAATTTCTCGGAACATTCAGGCCGGCAAATGTTGTTTAATACTGTTTATTATAAACAGAGTATTTACTTAAATATTTGTATCTATAAAAAGAATCTATAAACATAAAAATATCTTATATATATATATATATATATATATATATATATATATATATATATATATATATATATATATATATATATATATATATATATATATATATATATATATATATATATAAAAAAGTGAGATATCAGAGTTATTTTCATTCTTGTGTCATTTAGACGACAATTTATCCATCGCACCCTGTAGATCTGTTAAAATGAGATGTCAGGGTTATTTTCATTTTGGCCTCAATTGGACGCCAATTTATCCATCGCACCCTGTAGATCTGTTAAAATGCCATGTCAGTGCTATTTTCATTTTGGCCTCAATTGGATGGCAATTTATCCATCGCATCCTGTAGATCTGTTAAAATGCCATGTCAGTGCTATTTTCATTTTGGCCTCAATTGGATGGCAATTTATCGATCGCACCCTGTACACCTGTTAAAATGAGATGTCAGTGTTATTTTTATTTTTGCGTCATTCAGGTTTGGTTTGGTTTATTTTGTTTTACGGCATATCAACCTCAATGGGTTATTTAATGGCGACAAAAAAATTTATTGCTGGTTATATTTTGTTTTGTCAAAAATTTCCTTCAATATTTTATTGCTGGTATTAATTTTTTTTCAAAAAAGTATTGCTGGTAATAGTTAACTATTTGCCCATAGCTGAGACCCTAACAGGTGCTACCACCCCGGGTCAGGGTGGACCTGGTAACAACAGATATTTAGAGGTGGTTCCATGATCCTCATAACCTCCTGATCAGAGGCCTTGCTGCTGGACATAGATTAACGTCTTACCCAGGACGCGGACGTAGTTTATCGTCTTACCCAGGACGCGGATCTAGTTTATCGTCTTACCCAGGACCCGGACGTAGTTTATCGTCTTACCCTGGACGCGGACGTAGTTTATCGTCTTACCCAGGACGCTGATGTAGTTTATTGTCTTACCCAGGACGGGGGTATAGTTTATCGTCTTACCCAGGACGCGGATCTAGTTTATCGTCTTACCCATGACGCGGATGTAGTTTATCGTCTTACCCAGGACCCGGACGTAGTTTATCGTCTTACCCAGGACGCGGATCTAGTTTATCGTCCTACCCAGGACCCGGACGTAGTTTATCGTCTTACCCAGGACGCTGATGTAGTTTATTGTCTTACCCAGGACGGGGATATAGTTTATCGTCTTAACCAGGACGCGGATGTAGTTTATCGTCTTACCCATGACGCGGATGTAGTTTATCGTTTTACTCAGGACGCGAATTTAACGTCTTACCCAGTGATGCTATATTTATGGGTAAAATTAAAAGAGGTCAGCAAGAAGAAGTGACCATCCCCTTCCGGATTGATTGCAATCTTCATGCCATGGAGGTCACCTTTTAGCTCGACTCTTTATATATGCTAGTCATTGGTGAATTATGGGTAATAAGATCCGTTGCATTATCCTAATGGTTATTAGGTGGGCGGTAGCAGTTATGTTTCAAATTATTCTATAGTCTATTCAGTATTCATAACAATGGATCCGTTTATTTGCTTATTTGTAGCTATCCCATGATGTTGTTAAATTTTCATTCATTATATCTTATTGATTACTTAAATATTTGTCCTTGATTATTAGTAATAATATTATGTACATTTGTATTTATGCGCTAATACGTAGTTTAATAATTTGTTTGCTGTTTCCATTATTTATGTAGATGTTTAATTTTTTTTTTATTTTTCTCGGGGTTGGTTACCGTATCTGTTTACTCTAAGTTATTTGTTTAATGTATCTGCGTTGTATATAGTATACATATTTGCATTTATCAAGATAGTATTTTACAAAGGATTTTTAACTCTCTATCAACTACAGTCTATTCATATCTATTAAATCTATCTCAGACAGTTCGTATCTGTACATATATATAAAACTGTTCGCAACTACCCATCTATCTCATAATGTTCCTTTCTATATATCTATCTATCTATCTATCTGAATATATATATATATATATATATATATATATATATATATATATATATATATATATATATATATATTACGGTTTGTATCTGTCTATATCCAACTGTTCGTATCTATCTATCTATCTATCTCATCTATCTATCTATCTATCTATCTCAGACCGTTCCTATCTATACATGTATATAAAACTGTTCGCATCTATCTCATAATGTTCCTATCTATCTATCTATCTATCTATCTATCTATCTATCTATCTATATATATATATATATATATATATATATAAAGACATCCAAAGACTTTCATAGCTCTTCAGTGTGGCTTGACATCCGGTTGCCTCTCTCTCTCTCTCGCTCGATCTCTCTCTCCCCTCTCCCCCCCCCTCTCTCTCTCTCTCTCTATATATATATATATATATATATATATATATATATATTACGGTTTGTATCTGTCTATACCCAACTGTTCGTATCTATCTATCTATCTATCTATCTATCTATCTATCTATCTATCTATCTATCTATCTCAGACCGTTCCTATCTATACATGTATATAAAACTGTTCGCATCTATCTGATAATGTTTATCTATCTATCTATCTATCTATCTATCTATATATATATATATATATATATATATATATATATATATATATAAAGACATCCAAAGACTTTCACAGCTCTTGACATCCGGTTGCCTCTCTCTCTCTCTCGCTCGCTCTCTCCCCCCCTCTCCCTCTCTCTCTCTCTCTCTCTCTCTCTATATATATATATATATATATATATATATATATATATATACGGTTCGTATCTGTCTATATCGAACTGTTCGTATCTATATATCTGTGTATCTATCTATCCCAGAATGATCCTATCTATCTATCTATCTATCTATCTATCTATCTATCTATCTATCTATCTATCTATCTATCTCAGACTGTTCGTATCTATCTATCTATCTATCTATCTGGCTATCTATCTATCTATCTATCTTACTTTCTCTCTTTCATATGAGTTGCGTGTATAAAAAATTATACATGCATCCCGATGTAGAATCTCTACGCATTTCTTAATTTACGTATATATATATATATATATATATATATATATATATATATATATATATATATATATATATATATGATGATATATATCATTCTTTTTCTTTTCATTCAATTTTTTTCTTATTAAACGAACAATTGAGACCCTTTTCTTCTCAGCTCCAAATAGAAAGATTCGCCCCAAAGCGAAGCAATGTTGGATTGAAAGTGTTGCGAGACTGAGTGTCTAGTTTTACTGAGACGACAAGATGAATATTGCCAGCTCATTAGTCTGCCAACAATTGTCTCCCTACCTGAATAAACATAGCGATAATGCTGGAAGGAAGACATTGTTCTGTCGGTTTCTAGTTGTCCCCCTTCTCCTCGGATTATCTGCATTGTATAATTCACAAAGGCAAAGGGATAATTGAGTTTATTTCTACAATTACTATAACCACGATGACGACGACGACGACGATGGCAACGAAAATAATCCGATATACAGGGAGTCCCAAAAGTGACCATAGGATTTCAAAAATTTACTTTACTTCACACTACCAGAGTATTAGTTACAGTAGATATGGGAAATAAATTTACTCTAGTTGAGAAAGGTGACATCTTTTTTATTTTCAGCCTCACACGAACGTGACGTGTCTAAGTCCTCATTGATTCAGGCTTTGACGCGTTGACATCTGTTGACTTTCAGTCGTCGGAGAGTCTGAGGCTATTGGTATGACCCTTTTCATTAGGATAGACGAAATAGAAGGAACTCGGGGCTTGTCAGATCCGTGGAAACGCGTTGGCCAGTTTATGCCCCACCTGTGCGAAAATCTACCTGAGAAGCTGAATTGTGGCACTTGTTGTATGATCTGTTCCCCATGGATTCCTTCCTTTCTTCGTTCATTCGTTCCTTCCTTCCTTCCTTCGTTTCTTCCTTCCTTTCTTCGCAATCTGTTCCGATCTATCTATCTATCTATCTATCTATCTATCTATCTATCTATCTATCTATCTATCTCACCATGTTCTGAGAGGCTTAATTTGTGGCACTTGTATGATCTGTTACCCCATGTATTCCTTTCTTCCTTCCTTCCTTCCTTCCTTCCTTCCTTCCTTCCTTCGCAATCTGTTCAGATCTATCTATCTATCTATCTATCTATCTATCTATCTATCTATCTATCTATCTATCTCACCATGTTCTGAGAGGCTGAATTTGTGGCACTTGTTGTGTGATCTGTTACCCCATGTATTCCTTCCTTCCTTCCTTCCTTCCTTCGCAATCTGTTCATTATCTATCTATCTATCTATCTATCTATCTATCTATCTATCTATCTATCTATCTCACCATGTTCTGAGAGGCTGAATTTGTGGCACTTGTTGTATGATCTGTATACCTTCCTTCCTTCCTTCCTTCCTTCCTTCCTTCGCAATCTGTTCAGATCTATCTATCTATCTATCTATCTATCTATCTATCTATCTATCTATCTCACCATGTTCTGAGAGGCTTAATTTGTGGCACTTTTTGTATGATCTGTATACCTTCCTTGCTTCCTTGCTTCGCAATCTGTTCAGATCTATCTATCTATCTATCTATCTATCTATCTATCTATCTATCTATCTATCTATCTATCTATCTCACCGTGTTTTTATCTATCTATCTATCTATCTATCTATCTATCTATCTATCTATCCATTTCTAAGGCATATTTTCATCAGAGCCCCACATAATTCCAGGCTTCAATGCTTTCATGTCTGTTTGAATGTTAACCTCATGTTGTTGGACAATCTGTGGCTTGTTGGTATGAACCTTTTCATTTGGATAGGAACAATAGGAGGAACTCTAGGCTTGTCAGATCCGTGGAAACGTGTTCGCCAGTTGATGCCTCACCTGTGCGAAAATCTGCCTGAGAGGCTGAATTTGTGGCGCTTGTTGTATGATCTTTTGCCGCATGTAGTTGAAAGGAAACAGGTTGATGCATTTAAAAAATTTCGTTGGGGTGACGTCCGAGAGATCCAACCCTGTAGAAACTCTCTTCGAGTTGATGCGCTCGGATCAACTTCCCCTTTTCGAGTAGATATGAGAAATAAATTCAGACTAGTTGAGAAAGATTAAATCTTTTAAGTGGCGTCAATTTTCAGCTTCACACGAACGTGTGTCTTTTCTAAGGCATTTTCCTTCACTGCCGTCATTCTTTCAGGCAGTTGGGTTGGATTTCTGTCTGAATGTTTTCCTCTAGTTGTTGGACAATCTGAGGCTCGTTGATATAAACTTTTTATTTGAGGATATCCCAATAAGAAAAAGAAAAAAAAATCATGACTTTTCAAATCTGAGGAACGTTGCGGAAAGTTTATGATTCTAGTTTGAATTATTGATCCTTTGTTTTGGTAGAAAAATTTCACGACTGGTATTCGTGTTTCAGTAGCGTATTAATTACAGAATAAATTTTCAAAGCATTCTTTATAAAATAGATGAAAGAAAACTAAAAAAAAAAACTTATTAAACTTTCAAACCTCTCCCTTCGTGACTTTTGGGCGACCCGTGTATATATATATACATATATATATATATATATATATATATATATATATATATATATATATATATATATATATATATATGTGTGTGTGTGTGTGGATATTAACAGTCTGAGATAGATATATAGATAGATACGAACAGTCTGAGATAGATAGATAGATAGATAGATAGATAGATAGATAGAAAGATAGATAGATAGATAGATAGATAGATAGACCAATACTTCACACACAATGATAAATAATACACAAAATAATTTGTATATCTATATATATATGTGACTTTAGGGGCCAGAAACATTATATATATATATATATATATATATATATATATATATATATATATATATATATATATGTGTGTGTGTGTGTGTGTGTGTGTGTGTGTGTGTGTGTGTGATAGAAATTATTAGGAGGATTTGAGATAATTATAAATAAGTAATTCATCGAGTCAAGAAGAAGTTTCCCTTGCCCATTGGCCTGTGCCCCCAATACCCACAACTATAATCACCAAGGCGCTCCCTCCGGGGCATTTAAAGCCGATTCAAGCAAAATATACAAGTGATAGAAATTATTAGGAAGATTTGGGATAATTACAATTAAGTAATTCATCGATTCTAGAAGAAACCTCAACAAAAAGAAAATCTTTCTTTCTCTTCACCGCTTCCCCTGGAGTAGTAGTGTATATACTTTTTTTTTTTTTTTACCGAAAGTGTCTTTTTCAGACATTGACGAATAAACACGGCCAAAACATAATATTAAAAAAAAAATGCTGCAACAGACATTTTTATACATCGTTCTTGATTCATTCTGAGCTTGAAACGAGTTCAATTGTCAACTCAAATGGTAGAGGTGATAGTCAGGTTTTTATTTACTATATATACTACCTTCTGCATATTAGATAGATAAGTGTAAATAGAGAACAACCGGTGAACATAGGGGATAGCTCTACGTAGCAAACCCGGTTGCTATTCAGGACACACAGAGCTGTACTACGACTACTACTACACGCAGAGATATATGAAAAACAGAACAGTTTTATTGGTAATTTTAAAATTCATACCCAGATGTCCTCAAGGGCACATGGCACAGTGGATAAAGTTAGATCCCGTGACGGGACCCAAAGAGTGTGAGTTCAATACCTGATTAAGACAGTGGATAACTTACAGAAGGAAATTAAGATAACTGATAACTGACATCCATCAAATATGGCACGTGGAATTAGAACAGTCTATCCCAGTGATCGAAATAAAGGGTTCAGTTCGACATTCCATCTACCTGAAGAAGGCCGGAGCGTACAACGGCCGAAACGTTGTGATAAATATGGCGGCAAAGATGAGGACAATAGTCCGAATAATGTAAATAATATAAATAGATCAGTTGCTAAATCTACTAAATACAATATTATTGCTGATATTTTCACTATAAAAATGTATTTTTCTACTTTCATAGTTTTTTTTTTTTTGGTGGGGGTCCTAAAAGGTGATACCATCTTAGATCAAGGTGATTCCCTGATAGGTATAATGTCTAACTATTCGAATGCAATGTCAACCGACATCTCTAGACGCTTTAAATTATTCCCCGTCCTTCTCTTCATCCTTTCCTCTATCACGCCTCTTTACGCTTGCTCTCAATCCTCTGTAATCCCTTGCGTGCTAGTGACACTCCCGCCTAGCTTAGGGCGAAAGGCTTAAAATAAATGTTTGTGCGGATAGAATTATTGGAGGCGGTGTGTTTTATGTTGTAGTTTTGTTGCAGCTATATTTTTTTTTTGTTTGTTGAAGTTATATTTTGGAATAGAATTCTTTCTGATATTTGTAGGATATTAATATGCATTAATGTCGTGAAAGAATTCTTTCAAGCAAATTGTGTGGTTGACTGATTTTGTTTAGCAGCTATATCAACCGCTGTTATTTAATGCTGAAATCTAAATATTTTGAACGCAATTGGATGCCTTTAAATACAGATATCATATATTTGTAGTATCGTCTGCAAATTAGACAGACAAGCGTAAATAGAGAACAACTGGCGAACATAGGGTGGCTTTTCCTAGCAAACATGGTTGAACTGTACTACGATTACTACTATGCAGAGACATATGAAAAAGATAACACTATAAAAGCAACCAAAAAAATAAATCGTCGGAAAATGAAACGGTTTTACCAAAATAACCGGCGGGGAAGGGTTGGTTTTTGGAATATATATTTTGGACATCCCAATACGTCTTCGGATCTCAGTGTTGCACTTTCCGTCCTACGGTGACTTTAATTTTTTTTTTTAATATTTCTGGCAAATTATTAATTATAAGTCTTTCTTTCTAGATTCTTCGTCTTTCTTGTCCGCATTTTGTTCCATTTAGATCGATTTCCGTGTTTACTTATTGATTTTTTGTTATTGTCTCTTTGTTTTTTTGTTTTTTTTTTCAATCAAACATAACAGTAATTGTATCGTCCGACATTCCATTATATTTACTTACCCCTCCATCCAAATCACTTCCGCTGTTTGGGTTTGCGAGTTCAAGAAAAAAAGCTGAAGTATTTTTAGACCGTATGAACTTTGTCCGACCTTCAAAGAAAGAATAAAAGAATGAATTTCTTCCTTTCTTTTCTTTCATTTTTTGCCTAGTTTCTTTGTTTCTTTTTGCCTAGTTTCTTTGTTTCTTTTTGTGTGTGTGTGTGTGTGTGTGTGTGTGTGTGTGTGTGTGTGTGTGTGTGTGTGTGTGTGTGTGTTGTTATTATTGTCTGTCTGTTTATTTATCGGCATATCAAAATCTTATGGGTTATTTAATTTCTTGGGAGCATTAGTACAGTAGTTACCGCTATAGCGCGGGCCTTAGGGTCCAAGATTGCCGACCCGCGCTGCAAGTGAATCGCGGTTGCTGGTAGGAGGGGGGAGGGGCAATTATAGAAGGTTGAACACCCACCTGATGTTTGCCCTATTTCGCGATATATACCGTAGACAATACCTCGAAAAGAAACCCCCAAAATTATACTAATTTATGCCAATGAATCCATAAGAATTTTGGAGAAATTTTCTTTTTAAGCCCTGCGCTAAGTATTTAATAAAAATTTTGCAAAAAGTATTTTTTTATTCTAAATTTACTTGCCTAATTCGAAAATAACAAATTTTTTTTTCAGAAAATCTACCCTTTTAAAGTTATCGACATTAAAAGTTCGAACTCATTCGTATCTTTGTAGGCTAGGGCACGGCAGCCATTTTTGGCGTTGTTTGCATCAGTGCGTGCGCAATAATCGAGACAAGTGAATGTCTGTTCCGCAAAGAAATATATGCATACAACATTCGATATTATAGGAACTAGCTGATCGCGCAGGAAATAGAAATAAAATTATTACCAATACAAATGGATTCGTTGTGAACCGACCGAGGTGTTAACATTTCGCAAAATTTGGGCTGTTTGATCATTAAAATCAAGTTAAAACGGGTGAAAAAGGGGTGTAATTATTAAAATAAATAAGGGCCCATCTGGTGACCGCTTTTTTGTTCTGAATATCGGGTAGAAGATGGGCGAGAAATTAATAAAATAAGGTGGAATTTTTAAAAGCTGAGCGATTTTTGAGGGTATGAGAGAAAAATCTTGGGGTCCACCACCCACCCGCGGTACTCCGGGTCACCGCGGTAAACTGGTTCGCCTAATAGCGGTGGACTACTGTAATTTATTAAAAAAATGTATTGCTGGCTATTTTTTTTTTTTTTTTTTGTTAAAAAATGCATTGTTGGTAAATGTATTTTCATTTTCTCATAGTATTTTAATACCAGTTTTGCCCATAGTTGTGACCCCTAACAGGTGCTACCACCCCGTGCTAGGTTGAACCTGGGAACAACAACAGAAATGATGTGGTCCCACGTTCCTCAAAATCATCCGATCAAAAATATTGCTGCCGGATGTAGTTAATCGTCATACTCGAGACGGTTGTTAAAGTGCGTTTTATTTCAAAGATTATTTTCTCGTCTTTCTTTACTTTTTCTTTCTTCTGTTTTTTTTTTTTTTTATCTGTTGGTTGCAACCTTTATCTTTTTTGTGATGCTAACGAACATTCGTTGCCACTTTCGTAAGGTCAACGAAAACTAGTTTTCTCTTTCGCAATACTCGTTGTAGTAGAGACTTTGTAATCGCAGAGACAACTATAGTAACGCCGTTGAACAA